TTAATAGTGGGGCTTCTGTTCATGTTGCCATGACTTTTCAGACATTCACAAGCAAACGGAAGCCAAGTGAAGAGGAAGTCAAGCTTAAAGTAGGAGATAACAATGAAGTCCATGTTGAGTTCATAGGAACTGTTAGGTTAAATTTAGACACTAGTTTTCAACTTGTTTTAGAAAATACTTTTTATGTACCGTTATTTAGGCGAAATTTGATTTCAGTTTCTTTGTTTGATAAAATTGGATATTGTTTTAATTTTAGTAATAGTAAAACTCAATTGTTTTTATATTCCAAAATTGTTAGTCACTGTGTTTTATCAGATGGTCTATATAGTATATGTTTGACTGTTAATAATGAATATGTTCTTTCAAATATTGTGAATGTTGTATTTAAGAGACCTTTCATTAAAGAAAAATCTTCACAACTGTAGCATAAACATTTGAGTCACATTTCTAGAGAAAGAGTGGAAAGATTAATAAAAAATAATATTCTTCCTCCTCTTGATTTAGGAGACCTTGAAACTTGTGTTGACTGCATTAGGGATAAATTGATCAATACTAAGAAGAAAAGTGCAACTCACAGTCTAGATCATTTAGAAATCATTCATACTGACATCAATGGACCTTACTCACGTACATTGTGTGGTAATAAATATTTTATTATATTCATTGATGATTTCTCTCGTTATTGATATATTTATTTAATTAATGAAAAAACTAATGCTCTTGAAAAGTTTAAAATTTTCAAGACTAAGGTAGATAAACAATTAGAGAAAGTCATCAAAATTGTTAGGTCTGATCGTGGTAGTGAGTATTATGACAAATATATACCATGCTTGGTAGTCCCGAGCAAAATGGTGTGGCTGAAAGGCGTAATCGCACCCTTAAAGACATGATGAGGAGCATGATGAGTAGGTGTAACTTACCTGATTATCTTTAGGGAGAAACCATTAAAACGGCTTCATACATTCTTAATAGAGTTCTTAGCAAATCTGTTCCAAAAATATCTTTTGAATTATGGACCAATAGGAAATCAAGCCTTAACTATTTTTGATTCTGAGGTTGTCCTACTGAAGTCAAAATTTATAACCCTTTTGAGAAAAAGACTAATCCTAGAACTACTCGTTGTTTCTTCATAGGTTACCTAGAACATTCTTAAGGATACCGGTTCTATTGTCCTACACATGGTACTAAAATTGTTGAATTCTTAACAGCAAAATTTTTGGTGCTTGATGTTGCTGATATTGGTTGCTCACAGTCTATTAGTGAGCATGAGCAAGATAAATTTATTTATATTCCTTTACCTGTTGTGCAAGAGAATATTACACATGTTCCTGTTATTAATTTTTCTGCTCCAGTTGTTGATCCTCATGTTCCTGCAATTGAACCTTCTGTTCCTATTGAGGCTCCTCAACCTTTAGAGCCTACTACAGAAATTTCCTTGAGAAGATCTACAAGACCAAGAAGACCTGTTATTTCTAATGAATATTATATATACCTTGGGAAAAGTGATTATGATATAGGTGATGTTGTTGATCCTATAATATACAATACTGCTATTACTTGTCCTCAGTCTGATACGTGGGTAGGTGACATGAAAGATGAGATGCAATCTATGGCACACAATGAAGTGTGGGAGCTTGTGGAACTTACTGGGGGATGTAAGCTCATTGGCTACAAATGAGTGTTTAAAACTAAGATGAACTCTAAAGGTAAAATTGAAAGATTTAAAGCTAGATTGGTAGCAAAAGGGTATAGCCAGAGGGAAGGTGTAGATTTTAATGAAACTTTCTCAGCTGTCTCTACTAAAGTTTTTTTCAGGATCATTATGACATTAGTGGCTCATTTTAATCTAGAACTTCATCAGATGGATGTGAAGACAGTTTTCCTGAAGGTAAGCTTAGTGAATAAGTTTATATGATGGAGCCTGAGGGTTTTAAGGAGAATGGTAAAGAACAATTAGTGTGCAATTTCAAGAAGTTTATATATGGTCTCAAGCAAGTTTCTCGTCAATGGTACTTGAAATTTGATGAGATAATAAATTCTCTTGGTTTTGTTGAGAACAAGATGGATCAATGCATATATCTTAAGGTCAATGGGAGCAAATTTATTTTTCTTGTTCTTTATGTTGATGATATTTTGCTTGTAAGTAATGGTTTTGGTTTACTTCATGAGATTAAGCAATTGTTGTGTAAAATATATAGATCGTGTGCTTAAAAGATTTTATATGTATAATTGTAAGTTTGGGGATGTACCTATTGTGAAAGGTGATAAATATAGTTTAAGTCAATGCCCCAAGAATGATCTTGAGGATGAATCTATAAGGAGTATACCTTATCCGAGTGTTGTTGACAGTTTAATGTATGCACAGGTTTGTACTAGGCCTGACATTGCTTTTGCAGTTAGTGTTCTTGGCAAATATCTTTCCAAACTAGGATTAGATCATTGGATGGCAGCTAAGAAAATTATGAGATACTTGCAAAGAACAAAAAATTACATGTTTGTTTATAGGAGAGTTTATAGTATTGAGGTGATTGGTTACTCAGATTCAAATTTTGCTGGGTGTCAGGATGATTTAAAATTCACTTCAGGATATATTTTTATGTTAGCTGGAAGAACAATATCATGGAAGAGTGTTAAACAAACTCTCACAGTTTCTTTCACTATGCAAGCTGAATATGTAGCTTGTTATGGAGCTGTAACACAAGCTATACGACTAAGGAATTTTATTTTAGGACTTATGATTGTTGATTTTATCTCTAAACCACTAACAATTTATTGTGATAACAGTGCAGCTGTGTTCTTCTCAAAAAATAACAAACATTCTAGTGGGTCTAAACATATAAAAATTAAAAATCTTTCTATTAGGGATCTTGTGAAGAAATGTGACATTGTGATTGAACATATTGATATAAAATCAATGTTTGCCGATCTTTTAACCAAGAAACTGAGACCTGTAACTTTTAATAAACATGTTGACAACATGGGTATTTTGGGGTCTTTTGATGTACTTGGTTAGTGAGAGTTTTCTATTTGTTATGAACTTTAGTGTTGATTTAATTTCATATGTGATTTTTGATACTCATTATGATTGAGATACATCTATTTGATGAATAATAAATATTTGATGATTATTCTTATTGTTAGCATGATATTCTTGCTATGTTATATGTGTACACATTTATAACATGTCATTTTACAAAATCTTAAAACTTGGTGTATGTCTTAAATATGACTGTTTTGTCAATTGAGTATGTCTCTGATTACACCATTTGAGAAAATCTTGTGATTTTAAATTTGAAGACATGCTAGCTTATTGTTGAAGCTAATGGATTTCTCTAGCTTATTGTTGAAACTTGTTGTTAAAGGGAAATCATTTGGAGGACTGACAATGAAAATAACATGTTTATCAGATCAAATATTGAGATGTTATTTTCTTGTTACACTCACATCTTGATCCATGTCAATAGAATTATCATTTTTTATAATCATGGATTGGTCATATGTCAATAAAGGATGTAAAGGCCGCTATGGTTCGAAAATAGTAGTTTTATTAGACTGGGTTGTGTTTGAGATTTTGTCTCAGGACCATATTATTTTTTATTATGGCCACATTGAGTTTTATTTTGATTAGCCCGAGAGTCGTTTTCAAAAAAAAAAAATATATATATATATATATATTATTTTATTTTATTTCTAAATGACTACAATTAATTTTTTTTTTTGGGTAAGTAAACAAGAAGTTGTATTGATAAAAAACAAATGTACAGAACTACATCCAACCCCTAAGGGAAAAGACCAAAACAAAGAAACATGGAGAAGACAGCAACAGCCTGCAATCATTCCATCAAAAGCAGACAAAGGAAGTATGGGAGAGCAGCATTTTTCACTCCCCACAGACTACACAGCCTGTAAACAGCGTACAAAAATTACATCATGTGCAAAAACAAGAGCCTGAAAGTTGCCAAGGAGAAGTAGCCAGTCTGTGAAGAGGAGTGTCCTTGATTTTGACTGAGAGGAGTCTACTTCTCACCATATTCAAGACAGTTAACTGGATAATACTTGAATCTTTATACTCATTGGTGAAAATTCTATGATTTCTTTCACCCCATAAGACATAAACAATGATAGTAAAACTATGGATTCTGTCCTTTGTGGACAGCCTACACCTAATAGCAAAGCCAAAGGATAAAGTTGGATCTAGGAATGCAGAGATTGAACCAAATAAGATGGTACCACAACACCTCTGGTTTGGTGGTCCTAATTAGATTCCAAGCTGAAGAAGTAGAGAATTTTGCATTTACTCAAGGAAGCCATTTGAACTCATCCTTTGTATTCATTGTTGGGGAGTAATTGGGCATAGTCGAGATGATCTCCTCAATAACTCTGGAGTTTCTAGTATTAACTGGAGGCCACCTCCACTAGTTGCCTTGGATAATGGAGGCAACCTTGGCATTCTTAGGGATCCCAGAATCATAAATCACTCTAAGACCCCATTTAAGAAGGAGATGACCATTAGGATGCCAAAAATCATGCTAGAGAGATGTACTCCTACCATTTCCAATAACATAAAGAATGAAAGAATGACTACAATTAATGTTGTCCAAGTGGGAGAATGTTGAAAATTTTCTTATATTGGACTGCCATTAATTGATATTTAATTTTAGTTTGTGAAAAACGGGCTGAATTTATGGTCCAATGAGATGAGCCCAATATTATTAAGTGATCTATTTTGATGGGCTTATATACATATTTTAATTGATGTGGATGATGCGGTTAAGTGTAGGCCTTAATCTAATTGCGGCCCGTAATGGGAGAGCTCATTAAATTTCATTATAAATAGCAGTCTAGGTCTCCTCTCCACTTCATAATCCTAATTTGGCTTTTTCCATTGAGAGCCGCCTATTACTTTGAAGAAGAAGAGGAAGATCTTGCCCTTCCAAAAAAGAAATTCAAAAATCGAGTATCATTGCTCATACAGGTATGTTCTAAACCTTATAATTTAGGTATTCTAAATTTCATATACAAATCAATAAAATTGCTTACATGATATTGATGGGTATGACGAAGACACAAGGAGCTTCAGCGTCTGCAGCGAAGCCGAGGTCAATAAGGAAAGAGAAGGGCAAGGGCATTGCAACAGAGCTACAGCAGCCAAAGTCGAGGAAGCGTCAACGAGCAGTCTATGAGTCGAACATTGTAGAGAAAGGGGTCACTTGTGAGCGAATGGTTGATCAAAAGAGCTTGGGTAAGATCTGACTAGTGAGACGGATTATGGAGCAAGGACTTGAGCTGTTTTTTAAGCCGATGATGGGGTATATTCTTACTTTCTGCCGTGAATTCTATAGTAGAATGAAATTAGCCAATAGCGATGTGTTGATACTTAAGACTACTGTACGAGGTCATATTATCAAGGTTACCCCTGATAGTATAGCCGAGTATTTAGGATATGTTAGGCCTAATCCTACCATGATTGATTACCTACACCCAGATTTCACTGCCAAGAGTCCTGAGGAGTATGCACAGATTATGTATGAGGACCCTAGTCAATTTGATGGTCACTTTAGTCAAGGATGTTTGAGTGCAAAGTATAGACTAATGAATAAGATTCTGCATTACAATGCATTTCCGAAAGGGTTTGAGAAGCGGCCTAATTTACCCAAGATAGTTCTATTGCATGAATTTATGGTTGTTTCTAAGATTGATGTTGCACTACTGATTTGGGGAGTGATTAAGGAGTATGTGTCTGCTAGTAGGCCAAAAGGGAGAATGCCTTTTGCGCGCATGGTTACAGAGTTGTGTATCAATGCCGGTGTGAAGAAGGTACAGTCCGATCAGATTTATCCTCCGGGGAGGGGATCTATTAGTAGTTGTGGGGAGAAGAAGAGTTTGACTATGTCGAGAGCATGGTTCTGAATAAAGGTAACGGACACCGTAACGGTAACGGTAACGTTGTAACGGACGCGGGGTGAAACGGACGTTACGTAACAGTAACGGAAACCGAATGCTTAAATTTTTTTTTTCAACTCACAACCTCCTATAAAACATGAATATTTACATATTTCAACTTAAAATCATGCAAATATAGGTGTTTAGTGATTTAGTGCATTTTATTGTATCATAAACATGATAATAAAATATCAAAAGTATTAATAATATTTCTTAAGTCACTATGCAACAGTGATATTTCCATTAGCAACAATTGAACAAATGAAATGCACAATTATAAATCTAACAATTTATTAAATGAAACATATTGATAGAACCAAAATGATTTTTAGAATAGTACAATACAATAAAAAAGAGAAAGAAATAGTGTTACCTTTCAACAATCTCACCACCAAAAAGACCGACGCGGAGGATCCAAACATTGAAATTGAGATTGATTTTGATTACCTCCACTATCATCATTCCATCCTGTGGGCAACATATAAGTAAATGTTCTCAATTCAACTCCATCTTGTCGTGGCTGCTCTCCATATGTATGCAATGTCAAGTAATTGTTAGAGTTCAAAAGCCCTAAAGAATTATCTTGGGGATGTAACAGTGGAGGGTAGTGTTGAGGAGCATAATTATAAGGGTAGGGCCTATAATTTTCAGCTGGATAGCCTGATGAGTGGTAGTTTCCATTATCACTACCATATGATGAATCACTAAAGGTGAGATCACTCAAACTCTGCATAACACTAGACGAGGAATCTTCATATTCATTCCAATTTCTCGTATTTCTGCTTGATGTTTTTCCACGCCGTGATTCTTGACCATAAGCTTCTGGATCAATTCTAACTGTACTAAGTCCATGATGCCCGCGAAACGGTGAATCATGACAATGACCACTAGTATCACCCTGAGCTGGAAGGTTACCCTCACAATTATAATCATAAATTTGGGTTAGACTAGCAACCCGATGACCCCCATCACCATTATCATCACCATCACCACCACCACCATCATCATCATTGTCACTACCACAACCATTATCGCTTTCAGTTGGCGCAAGACTAGAATTAGAGCCTTGGTTATAAAGTGTGTAACGCCCCAAAAACCCCCGTGGGTGACATTACATTCTAAAAACCATTTACCGTATGAGAGCATTAAGTAAAATTCATCACGACGAAAGTTTCATTCATCAACCATTCATATTTTAACAAAATTTGGGCAGAGTCTCTTTTGTACGGGGAGCTCTACCCAAAACACAACCTGTACAATTATATTATAATTGACCACACCGGGTCCACATATGCATAACTATTGACCACACCGGGTCCATTTTTTCATCATAAAATAAACTTGCATTCATCATATGTCATATCCACACTATCACCCCAAATTAATAGGTCTAATCTTGGCCTTTACATCTCCAAAATGTAATAATATAACGCAGCGGAAATAACAGAAATGAACTAGAGTTCAAAAGGATATTCTAAGCATAATCTAGTCTAGAACAAAATAAAAGTGTCGCTCTAAGCGTCCACCTCGGGATCCACATCCCCGTCAAGCGGAGTCTTCCAATGGGTGGGCTCCTCGGCTCCTAACTCCTCCTCAAGTGTGAAATCTGAAAAAAATTTTATTTGTAGGGGGTGAGCACGAAGCTCTGTAGCAAAATCCTCTCAACTCAAACAAGGTTTGAAAAACATAGCAAACGGTCGGTCTCATTTCACAACTAACATATATATAGGTTTGGAATGAAAACAATGACATTTTAAAAGAGATCTCAAGTTTAAACAATAGCAATAATCAGTTAAAAGAATAAAGTGAGTTTAGCATCGATAAACAAAATTCTAATTTAAGCTATTTAAGAAGGGCTTCTCCCTAAGCATTGTCCCATACCAATGCATCGGCAAGAACGACCCAATTCCCGATTCCATGTATTTTTGGTTCATCCCCGTACCATGTATGTTGATTGCTTCTCGTGAATCTACCTAACGATCATGCCTAGTCCACCAATTCCAACCAACAATCACAAATCTCTTTAGGAAGGGCGTGTACCGTCTCCTACGGCATTGACGAAATCCTCCCAAGGTGTCTAGTATACTAACCCTTTTCCTCAGTGTATATGTGAACAATAGTGATCGCGAGCACAACAACGATCCACTACGAGCATTAGACAACCATCTCACCCCCCATTGGGATAGACTAACCTCTAACACTCTACGGCATCTCTCGAAGGTAATCCAAGTCCATCACAACAACCATACAATGAGAAATCAAGAATATTCACAATTTACAACAATTTCCCAAATATAGTAAAATCCCCAATTTTGTTTTCACATTTGTCATATAATCGAATAATCCAAGAAAATATGCAAGAGATCGTAATCTATATCATTTTGTTATACAATATTCAACACTAAAGTTTTAAAATCAAAGACAAAGAAGAAATTAGGAGAAAATCCCATTTTCTTGAAAACTAGGGCTTTGAAGATAAAAAAAAAAATCAATAGAGCTTTGGTGGTTACCCACCCTTCATATTGTTCAAAAATGGCATTTATTACAAATAGAACAAGAATCATGTATTTCACATTATATATATGAGAAGGAGAGTGAAGAAACATATATCTATATACATATATATATCTATAGATATATATCTAGCTTCAATGTGAGAGATTGAGAGAAAATCCCCTACCTTAAATCAAGATTCCAAGCTAAGACCCAAGCTTCAAGACCTTCTTGCTCTCCTTTCTTTTCCTCTTAATCTTCTCCTCCTAGGGTTTCAAAATATTTGGGTGAGAGGGTAGCAAGAATGGAAGAAAATGGGAGGAGAATGTATTCTTGAAGAATTTGAAGTTTTGATTTCTACAAGGTATAAATCCCTCTTGATTGGTATTTCTATCTTCCTCTCTTCCTCTAAAATGGTTCCTAGGGTTTGGAGGGGTGAAATGAATGCTAAAGGGACGACATTAGGTTTTTATAGGGCAAGAAAATCGAGCAAAACCCGATATTTTCTGTTCAGAAAAAAATCGGGTTTCCTTCGTACTGTTCACAGATTTTTGGTGCGACTTCCAGGTCAGTTTTGACCCATTTAGAGGTCGAATTGGAAATTTTCATGAAATACACTTTTGTAGCCCTAGATGTCTACTATTTCCTGTCAAAATTTCAGATCAATTGGACATCAAAATATAAAGTTATGATCAAAATACTAAGCAGTGTCTATCACCCCTTTTTACCCAATTTCACTCCAATTTGGTTTTACTTCTAAAATACTTCCTAACTTCTAATACATCCCATATTACCTCTCCCAATGTTTTCCGACCTCCCGAATTCAATGGTAATGTTATTTTGATAAAAAAAATTAATATATTTATTTAGTTACCCTTATCAATCTTAAACACATCCAAAAAAAAAAAATTAAGTTTGACCCAAAAGTCAATCCGTTCGAAACTCAAACTTCATGATTAATATTTCAACAATGATTCTAAGTTTTTATCCTCATTTTATTCATATTTGGAAAACTCTTAAGATATTAGTATTCTTATTTAATTTTAGTACAGGGTCTTACAATCCACCCCCTTAAAGAAAGTTTCGTCCTCGAAACTTACCTCAAGTAGCGAACAAATATGGATATTTCTCTCGCATCTCCCACTCCGGTTCCCAAGTTGCTTCCTCTACGCCATGATGTTGCCACAGGACTTTCACCAGCTGGATTACCTTGTTGCGAAGCACTTTCTCCTGGATATCAAGAATCTTCACCGGCTGCTCTTCATAGGTGACTCCATCTTGCACTTCAATATCCTCCAAATCCACGACATGCGACGTATCTGGTTGACATTTCCTCAACATCGAAACGTGGAACACGTCATGAACTCCTGACAATGATACTGGTAGCCGAAGTTGGTATGCTACTTTGCCCACTGTCTTGATCACTTCAAATGGACCGATGTACCTTGGAGCGAGTTTTCCTTTCTTACCGAATCTAAGTACGCCCTTCTTGGGTGACACTTTAAGAAATACAAAATCTCCCTCCTTGAATTCCAAAGGCCTTCTTCTCCTATCCGCATAGCTCTTTTGTCGACTCTGTGCTGTGCGTAATCTCTCCCGAATGAGCTGAATCTTCTCCGTTGTCTCCCGTACAATCTCGGGCCCAAACATACTACTCTCTCCGGCTTCCAACCAACATGTCGGGGATCTACATGGTCTTCCATACAAAGCTTCATACGGCGCCATTCCGATACTCGCTTGGTAACTGTTATTGTACGCAAATTCCACCAACGGTAAGTGATCGATCCAACTCCCTTTGAAGTCCAATGCGCAAGCCC